TTGATGTCCGGCAGCTTGTCTCATGGTGTTTCCTCATTGGTTATATTCTGCATGTTGCTCTGGGGTATAAAACTGTAAGATTTACAGATGCAGAAAAATTAAGGATCAAAACTCCTGAATGTGATGGATTCAGAATTCAGAATGTCCACTGAATGTCACTTTATGAATGAAAGAAGCCTTGATTAGACCAACAGTGAAGAAATGACAAATCAATTATCTATTAAGCCTTGTGTATAGTCGCGCGGCGCGGAGCTTACGGTGGTGACGTGGCGTCACTTGCGCAACGCGTGGATCACCGCAAGGCCCTTACGTAGCCTGCCGCGCACCCTCAAAAATGTCTAACTACGTAAGGGTCGTCGCAAGGAAGCTCCACTGTGATTGGTCCGTGTGTGATTACTTTCTGTGAAGCATGGAGCAGCTGCAGGAAACATGGACGAGGCACTTCGGAGCAGACTGCTTCGCGCTTCGAAGGAACCGAAGGAAAAGCAGTTTTGGCTCATGGCTCAGAGCCTGATATACGCGGAGTCCGTGGACAAGAGTTCTGTTGCATATCTAAAATATATATAACTTATATCTAACATATATATAACTTATAAACTGTGCAGTCGTTTGTTTTGCACTGTTCCTGTTCCTGTCTTTGTTTGAATCTGCACTCGTAGCTTATCTCGTCTGTTGCATGTAATGATCTCAAACAGTTTGCTATTGTTTTTGTTCTGAAGAGGAGAAAGTAGCAGCGTAAATGGGACCGCTTTGGTTTCTCAGGCAACTCCTGTGAGTTCGCCATCACGTGGTTGGTTGTGGGATTACAACATTCTCTCTGTAAGGGGAACGCGCAAGTGTACCACCAAACATAACCAGCGCCGCGTAAGTGAACACAGGCCTTTACAGATTAATATATTGTCTTGTCATATTGATATTTACTTGCTGCTCTTATGAAGCATTTAGAGCTAGTTAAAAAGCACTGAATGGAAGATGTTTTGTGTCATCAGATTTTGAATTTTATTTTCAACCCCAAACATTTTTGAATATTTCTTTCGGCTTTGCATTTCAGTCACTAGAAATTCAGTTTACAAATTTCTATTTGATTGAAATTTCAAAATGACATATTCCCCTTGAAATATTCAATGTTTATTTTTGAGCCTCAAATTCAATGCACTGAAATTCGAGGAAAATGTGTTTGTTCCGTCTGGAATTGAATTTTAAATGGACCTGAATTTATCAAAAACATTTATGCATATATTTTCAAGAACTTCAATTCAACTGTATAAATTCGGCGCAAAAAAATATGATAAAAATGATACAAATTTGCACGAGTTGTTCTGACGAGTTGTGTGCTCTCATGCTATATCTCTCCGTTACTATGGACATATTTTATTAGTTTAACGTTCTGTCAGTTAAAGTTATACTTTCATTCAATGTGGACATCTTAACTGCAAATGAAAACATAGGGGTGTGGGAGCCAAGCTAAGTTTAGTTGCTTTTTTGCATGTAGCACATACTGTATATTAGAGTGTTACCAATTTGTTTATTTGTTATAAACTGGTAATAACTTATCTAGCGTTATTTAATAATTATTTGACGTTGGCCCCCGCTGAAAGATCAAGACTGTGCTCTCACCAACAGAGAAGCCTTTTGTGGACCCTCCACCTGCGGGAGGATCAGTGAAGGGCTGGTGCTCTGTACTGTATATTGGGTGGCAGCTGATTGCCACCACCCCGACCCTTTAGAATGCAGATTTAGTAACTTACTTTAACAAATATATACGTTACCGTCACTTTAAAAGGGAGAGAGAGAGAGGTTTTGCTTTGTTTACAGTGGTATGAACGAGCGAGCGGTGCTGAAAGAGCATGTAACTTATTGCAGCTGAAGAAATAAGGAGCCATACAGTTTTCTTACTGTTGTTACTTTGTTTCAGAGACAACTCAGCAAAGAGAGTTGTCAAGCTGAGAAATACAATTACTTTACAAGGAGTCCCGTGGGAGTTTTTTCTCTTTTTAAAGTACACTTAGAAACTAACGCTGCACCTGATCGACCAAAATACTGTGTAATGCTACCAACTATATATGTCCTTCGTTGCTATAAATGTGATGGTTTTAATGCATAAACAAACACACAAAGCCTAAATAAAAAACCAGGAAAATAAAGTAATATTGATTTGCAACAATTTCTTCAAGAAAAGCTGCAGACGTTACTTTACCACATTCACCAGAAATGTTCAAAAGACTAACTCATCAAATGAATATACTGTAGTATAATCTCGCCATGGATACATTAAAATACATTCCTTATAAATCCCAAATCAACCGATTTGATTCATGTTATCAACCCGATGGACCCGCTGAAAGCTAGCGCCTGTCTTTACCTCAGTAAAATGTCGCATGCGCAGACCAACTGACAGACAGCACAACTTCTCAGAACACTGGATGTGTTGTGCAAATTTGTCACCATTGTATTTTTTTGCGGTAAATTTAGACAGTTGAGTGAAAGCTATTGAAAATATATGTATCAAATTTGTTTTATTTTGAAATGAAAAACATTATGGAATTGATAATCAGTGACTGAAATTCACAGACAAAAATGTTAAATTCAAATTAGATTAATTTGAATTTTATAAATAATCCGTGTTTTTTTCATCAAGTTTCGAGTTGGTGTTATGGCTTAGCTAACAAAACCGCTTACTGCAGCTTTAAAGAACGAGTTGAACGGCTGCATGGTTTTGGAAAGATATGAAGAAGATGACAAAGTCTGGGATCGCGTCTTTAATTCAGACAGAAGACATGTTTTATTGTCGATGGTAGAGACAGCACGATCAACAGATACAACAGAATGCAAGTGTATTATACAGAGCGGAGGCATGGAGACCTCCAATCAGCAGCTTCCACGGTGTGCTTGTAGCTTGGCCTTCAGATAGACAAAACAAGGGAAAAGTACTGGCTTCTGCACATTGATAGATTGATGAGTTTAACTTTAACAAAAGTTGCTTAAAAGTGTTATGAAATCTCACATTCCCCCCTCTGGTCATACATTCACGTGTGACCATCAGGATCGATAAACAGCAACATAACATCATAACTCAATACTTCAAAAACTCATAAACTTGGTACTTCACTCGGTACCTCAAAAAACTCAGAACTCGGAATACTTCAAAAACTCAGAAAACTCATAAAACATTTTCAGATCTTTCATAAAACTTGTCAACAATCTTCAGTAAAATACCAAACTTCATCAGTCGACGGTGGTTCTCAGATATTGCTTTGAAAACAGTCTCTCCCACTTCTCCGTGTTGGTTTCTTCAGGCTGCACTTGTGTCGAGCCATGAATTCTTCTGTGACGTGTCTTTCAATCACACGTTTCAGCTTCAGTGTCCAGATTCAGAAATCCAATTCAGTCCAAATTATGTCCAAATTCAGAAATCCAGATTGTTCCAAATCATGTCCAAATTGTGTAATCCAATTGTTCCAAATGGTGTCCATGCAAAAGAGGACGATGGTATTGTCCATGTCTCAGCAGCTCACAGCCTGACTGGAATCAGGGGCTGTGCAGATTGTCCATGTGCTGGTCCAGATGCATTCTCTTGAGGTTTTTCAGTTTTGGCTTAAAAAAAAAACACTTTTTGTGTAAAAAAAAAGTAGTCTTCTGTTCACTAGATGTTACAGACAAGGCCCGCATCCTTCCACCACCTGAAGAAGATGACAAAGTCTGGGATCGCGTCTTTAATTCAGACAGAAGACATGTTTTATTGTCGATGGTAGAGACAGCACGATCAACAGATACAACAGAATGCAAGTGTATTATACAGAGCGGAGGCATGGAGACCTCCAATCAGCAGCTTCCACGGTGTGCTTGTAGCTTGGCCTTCAGATAGACAAAACAAGGGAAAAGTACTGGCTTCTGCACATTGATAGATTGATGAGTTTAACTTTAACAAAAGTTGCTTAAAAGTGTTATGAAATCTCACATATTACTTGGTTGCATTCCCAGGAGACAAATTCTATAGACAAACAGCACAGCTCAGTTCATTCTTGTGTCCAAAACAAGTCTGCCATGTTGGTCAGGCTGCAAGCAGTATAGAAGGAGATAAGACACACCTCCACTTCCACAGACTCACAGCTTCACAATGAGACCTTTGGTATTTAGCATATCAATCAAAGGAACAGTGGCCTTCTTACCAGGCCTAGCCTGGTCCATCTGCATACAACCCCTGTTGTCTAGATGACTGGCTGGAGCAGACAGTGAATACAATATATTTTAGCCACATATTACTTGAATTAAATATTACTGCTTAAAAATTATTAAAATGAACTTAAAAACATTCCAACTACAGTCTCTCTCTCTGGTCTTCCTCTCTGTTCTCTATGCTCTCCACAGAGCAGCTCCTCACACTGAGACAAACATTTCAGGCACATACTCTTTAGTTTCCTCTTGTCTGTAATTATTAGGAGCAGCTCTCATGAATTTAGCTCTGTACAGTTTCCAGATGCCTCAAACTTAACCCTTACATGTTTTCCAAATTATCCCAGCAAAATGCATGTCTTTCCCTGATTCAGTATAGCGTGAGCCAGTAATACTGTCATATACCAATAAATCGTCCACATTGCCTCCATAGTGTGGCATCCCCAGCAGCAGAGACGGCAGATTAAACGTGTGCGCTGTAGGTGCGCCTATCACTGTCACGGTTTACTGCGTTGGGAAATGAGCTGAAGGGGAGATGGAATATCATTAGAGTTGAATGTGCTTCTCAAAGCAGGTCCCGCGAACCCGAGCCCTGTCCGTCTGCTCCATATGCTGTTTATATGTGAACACTCAGCCATGTTATCTAAAGCCTCTCTACGCATTTCTCATATCAGCAATAGAACGCAACAGTCCTCCGTGTGTGTGCGGTGAGAGCTTTAAGTCCACATTTCTGAGGGAATTAGTACCTTTTCCCTCGGGATCTATTTCTGTGTGGGAGGCCGAAAGGTCATGGCTCAGAATAGGGCTGTAAGTCACCAACACCCGAGTCAGTCTCCCACACTGAGGCCGTCTCTCCCAAACTGAGGCCATCTCTCCCACACTGAGGCCGTCTCTCCCAAACTGAGGCCGTCTCTCCCACACTGAGGCCATCTCTTCCACACTGAGGCCGTCTCTCCCACACTGAGGCCGTCTCTCCCACACTGAGGCCGTCTCTCCCAAACTGAGGCCATCTCTCCCACGCTGAGGCCGTCTCTCCCAAACTGAGGCTGTGGTCCACTTAGACCACACTCTACGCGCGGGGGAGATCTTGTATGTGCCGACCATGCAGCCACAAGATCTGGAGGCTTTTTGCCAAATAGAATGTGCAGCTTTACCATCAGAAGATTCCAGAGAGGCACCAGAGAGGCACTCATATATGACATTTACATTAGTCCTCGTCGTCAGTATTTGTTCATATTCTTGTTCTTTAATTTCCTCTTCCCACTTGTTTTCTTTCATAAGAGGCTCTTTTTTCAGTCCAGTCACTCTTGCTTATCCTTGTAGGGATATTTGACCCGTCCTGCCACCAGATTGAATTCACATGGGCCACCCACTAAAATGTCCCATAGATCTCAATGTAAACTAAAACAACTCGACCTCAGCTGACAAAGATCCTACAGCTTTCATAAAGGTCGGATTTTGTGGGGATTTTAGTGTCACTTGTCATCCTGAACTTTTGTTCTTTCGGTTTTCTATAAATCCACACTTTAAAGTAACAAACTCTGCTCGTTTGGGGCCCGCTCTAGCTCCGCTCTGATTGTCAGCTGCTGATTGGTCAGAGTGTGGCCCCTCTGTGCACGTGCCTTAGAGCCACACATGCTTATTTGGTGCAAAGCATCATGGGAATTTGTCAATTGCGCAGAACCGGGAGGACCAGACAATGCACATATATGGGTGAGTTCCACTAATCTTTCAGCCCCCATGGCTGTCCCTTGTGCTACTGAACACAAGCTATTGATTTGTAAACACCATCTTGGATCACCAGGGCTTGGTTCCGACTGGGATTCGAGCCCTGGACCTTCTAAGAAGCAAGAGCGCTTACCACTTTTATTTATTTAGTTTTATATTATCATTATTAATATTATTATGTTGTATTATGTGGTATCAACTATGAGTAGTGCACTTGTGTGTCTTACGCTCAGTTACTCTATCTTAATGCCAAAAATACTTTTTGGCATGTTGTGTTTTGTTCCTTGCCTCTTCACTTCCCTCGAAAAACCATGTGTTGTTCGTTAGATGGGTTTGTGAGACTTGTGTTGGAAGCTGAAGTCGTAGGTGGCTGCTGTCCTGTATTGTACTGTGTGACTCACTGCAGCTAACCTGGTCTCTCTCTGTTGTCTCTCTCTTTGGTCTCTCTCTCTCTGGTCTCTCTCTTTGGTCCCTCTGTGGTCTCTCTCTGAGGGAGAGACCACAGATCTCCCAGAGAGAGAGAGATCTGGTCCCTCTCTGATCTCTCTCTCTCTCTCTGCTTTTTTGTTTATTTATTTATTTGATCGCGACAACACACATTAATGAACAATCATATACAAGTTGTACACAAATTGTAAATTTGCCAGATTGTAGCAAAACTGCTAATTTACATCCGTAGTCCCGAGGCAGGTCACACAACAATAAATATACAAAAGGACAATATACAACTATAGAAATTATAGTTAGTTAAAATGAGTGCAGGACTGATTTACTTTAAAATGGTGTTTTAGTTGTTTTTTAAAAGAGCTATATGTTGGGCATTCTCTTATGTCTGTAGGAATGTTGTTCCAAGACTGACCTCCTCTGACTGACAGCACAGTTTGTCCAAATGTAGTCTTTCTGTGTGGGATCTCCACATCTCTTCTAGAGGATGCTCTGGTGCGGAGACCTGTCACTGCTTTAGCTTTAATGTAGTTTGAGAGCAGGGGCGGGGCAAGACCATGAAGTGCTTTGTAAATAAGGCAAGTTTTTAAAATTAATAAAGTTTTGAAAATTGAGCATTTTGTGTTTCTCCAGGATATTGCAGTGATAATATGACCAAGGCTTTTGATCCAGAATTTTAATGGACTTTCTGAAAAGGGTTTCTATGGATTTGATATGTGTTTGTCCAGTGAGTGACCAGGTTGTGATACAATATGTGTGAGAAAATTGTTGCTGAATCAATTCAGCAACATTTTTGCTGAATTGATTGTCATAAAAGGCCTGATTTGTGTGAAGTTATGTAAATTTAACTTTATTGTATTAGCTGTGAGTTTAATGTGTTTTTTGAAGGAGAGAGTTGAATCCAGTGCTCTCTCACTGGTCTCTCTTCCTGAGACTAAAACATAATTTCTTGAGTCAATGTAGGTGCTTTCTCATCGAGACGTCCCATATTCCATTATAATCGCTTTTCTTCTTCTGACAGCCCTAAGTACACGGGTGTTGTGTTCAGTGGATTGTCCCTGGCACCAAATCTCCATCTCAAATGCATCCTCCTATTGTTTGGTCTGCAGCGTTTCCTACAGCTACAGTTTCATTTCATGAAGGAACAGGGATAAAACATTGAAGAGACCAACGGCAGAGGGACAAAGCAGCGGCTCAGACATGCATTGTCGTAGATAAAGTTACATAATAAATGTTTAATGCCCAGATGAACAGACCCATGTGAGAGTCTCCTCGTGCTGCCGAACGCCACCAGGAGACCCCACCCACTGCGCATTCCCACAGTGTCCCCACCACAGACTCGACCTCGTGGCTGTTTGGCCTCAGAAGAAGAAGCAGGAACCCGTCTGGTTCATATAAAAACACACACACAATACATACAGCTGATGTAGGGTTGGGCAGTCTCACTGTTTTGGTCTTTACATTAGAGTAAGAGATTTAATTTAATTTTAGTATGGAGTTATTGTTCACTGATGCAGTGTGCTCCTCAGTCCTGCTTTTATGTAACTGGTGATGCAACACTGACATTTCCCCATTGTGGGACGAATACATGATCTCTTCATCTTTATCAGTCCAAAGTTGTCTAAGGTCTCTCTGGTCTCTTTCTTTGGTCTCTCTTTCTTACCAGCGAGAGAGACCTCTCCTCAAGCCATGAACTTATAGAAATATGTGTTATACCACAGGGACTCAGAACTAGGACTGAACCAGGTCTGAACCAGGTCTTGGAGTTGATTTATGTCAGGACAAGTTTGTGTTTATGATGAGACTGCAGGCATCGCGCACAAAGCATCAGCACTCTATATTTCTCTTTTATTGCGCTCTGAAAGCTCTTCTTCCTCATCCTTTCTCTCCCATACATACCCCCTGTCCCCCCCCCCCCCCCCCCCCCCATCTTCTCACCCTCACACACGTATCTCTTCCCCTCCTCACGCACGAATCTCCCCCTCCTCACACACGTATCTCCCCCTCCTCGCACACGTCTCTTCCGCGCCCTCCTCACACATGTATCTTCCCCCCTCCTCACACACATTTTCCACCTTCCTCCCTCCCTTCGCGCCTTCTCTCTTTTCTCTGACTGTCCTCCTCTCTTCAAGCCACTGTGCTGTAGCCGCTGGAGCTGCCACAGATGCAGCTCTCGCAGCTCCATCAGCTCTCTCTTCTCTCCTTCAGACTTTAAAACACGCACAGATTTTTGCAGAGTTCCTCAGCAGCTTATGATGGACCATCACAGCGCAGTCTTTCAGTGTCTTGATGCTCCGGGGTTTAGATGCTTCTCGCAGACTTCTACATTACGGGTTTGAAGATTGAAGAGTTTTATTTAACCGAAACTTAGTTCAGTGATGCTGAATGCGCAGGGCATTAAACCCGCGGCTGTTCCGTGATGCAGCTCCCGCACCTCACATCACGGACTCTCCCTTAAGCTCCGGTCTCTTCCACATCAGGACTTAACACCGCAGACTCCGTTTTGCGTGTTCGTGTGGGACTCTTCCAGACCCCCAGCAGACCCCCACCATGCAGGTGTCACTGGTGTGTACGGATCACCGCGGGGGGGTGAGCCGGACCACGGAGGACCGGCTGAACCGGCAGAACGCCAGCAGCCCAAGCACCGGGACCCGCAGCAAGTTCAAGGCCGTGGCTATGGTGGCGCGAAGCCTGGGTCAGCTGTCCGTGCAGAGCGTGCCCTCCTCCAGCGAGCAGAGCATGAAGACCGGCATGAAATACCGGTACAAGCACTCACGCTAAAGACCACAAGTATTGGGGCATACTGAATCATTGTACAGCGTGAGGTTACCAGTACGAACCACTCACAGTAAAGACAAGGGTGTCATTGGCTAAAATATGAAGATTCGATAGTATTGCGATATTTGGGCCACAATTCAATATTATTGTGATTCTTAACATATTGCAATCATATTATATTATATATATGCGATTATGTTTTGAGATTTATTGCAATATATGTCCCTCATATTATTCAAAAGCGTCACAAAAAAAAACTGCTTAAACCCAAATGTCACATTTATTATGGTCTGAGGTTATGGTACATTAACTGAAGTGCAAAAAATTAGGGGGGAAGTGCTAAAACTTTATCCACTAACATTCAGGACCTTATTACAGGCGTGTTGTGTGGAACCGGTTGTGATGAAGCCATTTTCATTTGAAGTTGCTGTTGAATGAATTCACAAAAACAAATAGATATCCCTATACTTTACTCTACTGTATTGATTTAATTGCCTGCAGAAAATGTCGCAAGACTGAACAGAATCGATTCTTTTCCCCCACCACAAAGGACCAGAAGTATTGGGACATCAGCGTCATTAAACAGCTGCGTTGGTGCAGACAGTGAGGCCAGAGAGAGAGTGAGACCAGAGAGAGAGTGAAACCAGAGAGAGAATGAGACCAGAGAGAGTGAGACCAGAGAGAGTGAGACCAGAGAGAGTGAGACCAGAGAGAGTGAGACCAGAGAGAGTGAGACCAGAGAGAGTGAGTCCAGAGAGAGTGAGACCAGAGAGAGTGAGACCAGAGAGAGTGAGACCAGAGAGAGTGAGACCAGAGAGAGTGAGACCAGAGAGAGTGAGACCAGAGAGAGTGAGACCAGAGAGTGAGACCAGAGAGAGTGAGACCAGAGAGAGTGAGACCAGAGAGAGTGAGACCAGAGAGAGTGAGACCAGAGAGAGTGAGACCAGAGAGAGTGAGTCCAGAGAGAGTGAGACCAGAGAGAGTGAGACCAGAGAGAGTGAGACCAGAGAGAGTGAGACCAGAGAGAGTGAGACCAGAGAGAGTGAGACCAGAGAGACTGAGACCAGAGAGACTGAGACCAGAGAGACTGAGACCAGAGAGACTGAGACCAGAGAGACTGAGACCAGAGAGACTGAGACCAGAGAGACTGAGACCAGAGAGACTGAGACCAGAGAGACTGAGACCAGAGAGACTGAGACCAGAGAGACTGAGACCAGAGAGACTGAGACCAGAGAGACTGAGACCAGAGAGACTGAGACCAGAGAGACTGAGACCAGAGAGACTGAGACCAGAGAGACTGAGACCAGAGACTGAGACCAGAGACTGAGACCAGAGACTGAGACCAGAGACTGAGACCAGTCTCTGTTGCTGTCTTTACTCAAGATGTCAAGATAATTAATGGGACAAAACATCTACTGTTCACAGCTCATGACCTTGTTTTTCTCTGTCTTATTTAGATAGATAGATAGATACTTTATTGATCCCCGTAGAAGATTTGCAGCTGTCCAGTAGCAGCAAATATAAAAAATAAAATTGATAATTCTAGATCATGCTAAAAAGCTATTTATCATTCTGTCTGCGAACACTGAAGCATGCCACTCACTTTGAAAAAGTTGCTGATAGATAACTTGATTTGTTGCCTGGTCTTGAGCATTCGAGGTGACTATTAGGAGTGGACTGACCTGGTGTGACCATAGTATTTGCAGAATGCAAAAGAGGCTTAAGCTTGCTATAGGACCAATTTCCTCATATGGAAATAAGCTCTAATTACAATCTCTGTTTAGCATTGTCCAATGTACCGGCTCTGTTAGCATTGTGCATAAGTATACTGTCTTTGTTAGCATTGTCCATCTGTCTGAAGGTCCTTTATGGGGAAATTTCAGTTTGATGCATACATACGCATATATACACATCAAGGCTAGCAGCGAACATCACTTCCGCGCTCCTTATAGGCAAAGTGGGTTAAGTGTCTTGCCCAAGGACACAACGACAGCAGACATCAGTGGAGTCGGCGGAGAAGGTCTCGTGGTGGGCTCGAACTCACGACCTTCGGGCTCATAGGCCAATTGACAAATACCAACTGAGCCACTGTCGCCACTGTAAATTACATTTCATACTAAGGTCTGGATTTGCTCCATGGAGCTCCGTGAACAAGTGGGAGGGGTTAACTCCTTTTGCAGATTGAAACGATTGGATCTGAGTTTACCGTGACGTATGTAGTGCGCCCGAGTCTGTTGTTAGCATTTAGAATTTAGCCTAGCCATCTCCTTTGCCGCTAACGGAGCCCGTGGGGAGTAGCGCCACAATCTTGACCAGCGATTACATTTGCTAAACATTCCTCTTGCTCCTACTTCAATTTCTTGATAGAACCAGACCGGATTACTTTACTATCGCATTCTTCGCCACTGCCAAACTACGACCTGCCCGTTCGGCACAAACTCTTGACGTCACCGGCACCGACCTACAACACCTGCCTTCCGCGCTCTCTGAGTAGCTGGTCGAAATACGACCAATTGTATTCGCTAACACAGGGACCTGACCCAGACGGTTACAGTACATGCAGTGAAATGATGATTGAGCGGAGTGTACGGATGGCTATGGCCAGGCTTGCATTGAGGTAGAAATATGAGTTTCCACTGCTCTGGGTTTTGAAAGTGACTGTATTGAGCCCAAAGGGGCAGAGGGCTGACTCCTCTGCCTCTCCTATTTTCATACTTAACTTCCACTTAGAGCTCAAGGCCGACACGCGCTGCTAACCAGATGCTAATTTATGTTGTTGTGGTAATTTGTGCAAATTATTCAGCACTTTACAACGAGCTGCAAATGAAAGTGGGATGTGTCCAGTACTGAGAGTATTTGCAGGAGCACTGTAGGGAAATGGGACTCGTCATAATTTACAATTCAAATGTGTCTATGACAATCACCCAATGAGGGTTTGAACTTTCTGTTAATGGGAGGATTATGACGGCATGTGTTAAAGTTGATGTCTATTAAAAGAGACAGATGCAAAAGGCTCTCTTTGAATTGTAAACCGTGTTACAACATCGTTTTAGCCGCATCCACTGTGTGATGTATGATGTATCTGTACAAAAAGAATAGAACGTTTATCCATATATGTCGCATCCTAAATCATATCTGGACAAAAATCATGATTTATTTCCACTGTTAAAATCACTTTTTAATTTATCTGCTGACACCTGAAGTCATGCCAGAGCTCTTTCCCCGTAAGATCACTCAAAAACCGGATCCACTTCATGGAACAGAGAGGAGGAGGAGACTGGGGCGGAAGAGGACAGGAGGAGGCTGAAGGAAGGAGGAGCAGGCACGAGGCGGCCTTCATTTGTATTTTATCACCAGGAGGATGCGGACAATTCTTAGGCTGAGGAGGCAGTGAATTATCCAGTAGACACTTGGTTAGAGGTGAGAGCACCATGAGACATGAGGAGACTCATGTCTCATCGTGAAACGAGAGAAGAGAGGAGACTCGGAGACAGGAGGAGACAAAAGGGGACTCAGAGATCACGCAAAATGGCTGATTATGGGAATGAGGGGAGGTTTGAATGAGAAGGAGGAGACATGTCTATTGAACATGTTTGGACCCGTTTTCTGGACGTGTGTCCTGGACGGTGCTATCTGCTGTATTAGTGCTTCTTCCCTGAACTCTCTGAAACGGGATGTTTTTGCTTCAGGACATGTTCTCATCGTTGGCTTTTGTCCCTTTGTCTTGTCCTGCACTTTCTCTGAGTCCATGGGTGGAAAAACTAAACACACTCTGAACAGTCAGGTTTTTGAAAATCGAGGTAACAAGGCTCTTTGTCTGAAGAGATTTACTTCAAAATGATAAAAATGTACTCTCTGTTCTGTCTCTTCCACCTCAGTCCTAAAGGATCAGCGAACATGGAACAGGGTTTCTGTTTTGAATTGGAAAGACTCGGACAAGGTTCAGTATTAGAATAGATACAATATTCCAGATTTTATTTGCCATTTGCAGTAAAACCACATTAGAAAAACTGTTCAAGACTACCTAAGTGTGTGAAGAAGATGACAAAGTCTGGGATTGTGTCTTTAATTCAGACAAAAGACATGTTTATTTGTCGATGGTAAACAGCACGAACAAATATGTTACAGAATGCAAGTGATGTTGTACAGCATGGACGAATGAAGTCCTCCAAGTAGCCAGTAGCCTGTAGCGTCAACCTTGAGATACCAAAACAGGCAGTGGAAAAGTACTGCCTTGTGTATATAGTTGAATGACGAGTTAGAACTTTAACCACAGTTGCTTCAAAGTGTCATGAAAAACCTAACTTTGCACCAGATAATACACACCAAAGAGCCATTTTTCCGGCCCCATGGAGCCTATTGATGACTGCAGGAGTAGACTCAGACCCAGCAGATATGGTATGATGTTTACAGTTTGTTTCAACCATAGACTATATACAGATGGACAGGTAAGGTAAACTCCTCTAGCTCAGTAACCGTTTGTGTCACACTCAAAATGGTGTGCTTAAATCTGTGGTTTAGCGCTCTCTGTGATCCTGGTGTTTATATTGTGATACTGCTTTTGTATATCCAGATATGAGCCATATAAGGATGCCTTCATTCACGGGGGAATCTCTAGATTGCCTTAACAACTGTCTTAGCAACACGTCTACCCCTATTACGGAGTGAAGCTAGCGCCATCAGAAAAAATGGTGATGTCACACTTGCTCAGTCCACTTCAAGTACACAGTCTATGACAGCAACACAGCATGACATAATCAGAAGGGAATTGAAGTGAAATCCTCTGAGGTCTCGTTCCTAGTGACGCTAAATTGACGACATAGAGAGTACCACATTTATTAACATTTCTGGACAGTGGTCATCCTGCTCCCTATGGACCAATGGCTCTTATGTGAATTTCCTGTGTTCAAACTGTTTGATTCTCTGATCTGTTTTTGGTGAATCCACAACTTTTATGTCCCGCGAGATGACTGCTGTTGTGGTTTGGGAGCGATACACAAATA